TCTTTTTCTTTCTTTTGGAAGCTCCGGTTGACCAAAGAATTGCACTGCAACTTCACAAAAACTCCTACACCCTGACCAGGATCTGAGCGATCTGCCTCCCTACTGCAACTCTTTTTCAGCCGAGGGTGGTTTTCGGTCAAATGCACTTCAGTGTAAAGTGTTCCGCAGGGTACATGCTACAGACAGGAATATCTACATTCAGCGAACTAGAACTAAATTCACACCAGAAACAGACAACAAACTAGCACAAGCAGTTGTAAAACCAGAATTGAAAGGGCTGGGTTTTCCTTTTAAATACTTGAGTTAAAAAAAGTGACCTAAAGCAAGATAAAATAATAATAATAATTAAAAAAAACCCCGAAAACAAAACAACAAAAAGAAAAGAAAAAGTCCCTTTTAAAAACAAATCAAATATTTGCAGCTTCACTTCTTATTCTGGTAATAAAAATACTGTCTAGAAACAAAAAAATTAGCATTTTTAACGTAATGCTACCTCTCAAAATGTAAACAATATACAAAATGCTTATGTTAAACAAAGTTACATACCTGGGTAATACATCATTAAGTGAGAAAATTGCATTTAATTACTTTAATACATACATTATGGCAACTTGACAGAAGTGGCAGAATTGGGGAAGTGCTAAAGTGAATCGAGTTTATGGGGCTTGTGGTTATCACTTGAGCCAGAGACAGCCAATTTCATTCCAGCAGGAGTTTGCTTGGAGTGGAATAAGAAATAAGAGTTCACTGCTCTCGAGCCCTTGGTATCACGACTTCGGTAAAGGCTGCTGCAGGAACTACCTGCATTTTAATTTCCTTCCTCTTTATGAGAGTCAGGGAACGAGACTGTTGCTCCCAGCTCCGCAAGCTTCATTCGACTGTCTCTCCCTTGTTTTGTAGTGTCTCTGTGCAGGATGTCTGCAGTTCACTAATTTCCTTCTCTCTTCCTCCCCCTTTTTTCTCTCTCTCTCTTTTCTTTTTTTTAAAACACACGATTTAAAGATAAACAGTTTAAAAGCTACAAGCTAGTTTCCCAAAAGGAGAACGGCAAACTTACCAGGCCAAAGTTGCAGATTCAAATGCAGATTTTTAAAACTGTCAAGAATAAAAAGTGACGGGTATTTAATTTCTAATTGATAGTAAACTTAAGTGCTTATCGTTTAAGAGAAAAGCAACCAAGGTAATGCCCACAAAACGAAGCTGAAGATACTCTCTAAGTCCTCCCTTTTTTAAAGTACTCTGGTAGCTGCATTTGTTTTGTGGTTTTCCCAGCTACACTTCTTAAGACATGAGACCCCTCAGCCTCCCAGACAACGGTGTGTTAACCCCCACATCACACAGAACAGCGACCGGACTACAGCGGCGAAAGAAATTTGTCCCACGTCAAAGGGAATGACCCATGAATGAATGAATAAAAAGATTAATATCTCGTTATGACCCCTAATAGTAAGTTCTGATTTCTTAAAGACTCTATTTACAGTGCACTCATGGGCTAAAACCTTAACCCCCCCCCCTCCCCGTTTTTGTCCCCCTTCAGAGTTGAGACCCGTGGGATTCAAACCATGAAATGTGGGGATGAACATAAAAAAAACCAAAGCCCAAACCCCCCAAGCCCACATTCCGAATCCAGACCAGAGCTAGCGTTAGTCTAGGGAAATTACCGGGATGTGATGAGCACCAGTTATCTCTGAAAAGGACCAAATTCCACACAGCAAACTGTAGCACGCGTTACAGCACAGGACAGACATTCCAAACAGCTTATTCCCGAAACAAAGGCATATGTGAAAACAGTTTCAAGGCAGATAAGCGACATGTTTCAACTGCAAGAGGTTTGTTTCGAAACTCTAAATCCTGCTTAAAAAGAGACAAGAAAATCTAAAAAAAAAAAAAAGGGGAAAAAAAACCAAAGAAAGGAAAAAGAACCAAAAGTTGGGTAACTGTTGTGCAGCGGAGCTAACAAAACCCAAAGCAAGTCTGACAAGCTTGGCTGTGAAAAATATTACAAGCGTTCTGGAGACAAAACAGGATGTTATTCAGTCACGTAAATCAGTTCCAATTCCTTAGAGGGGGGGAAAAGTAATCTGGCGCAAGTGTTCAAACATTTCCACTCCTTGACTGTCGCTCCAGAGGGGTAACGGAGCAGAGTGAAAACAACCACGGCTCAAGTCCCGAGTCCTCTTGAGCAGCAGAACTTGCTCCACAGTCACAGCTCCCAGCACTCCCCACTGGTAGCAAGTCCAATTCCTTCGTGTGCAAGTCACATTGCCATTGAAAAAAAACAAAAAGAAAATAAACCAACTAACCAAAGAACCTCTGTCAGGAAACAAATTCAAGTACCTGTTGCAGATGGGGCGAGGAAGGAAGACTGAACATTAGCGAGATTAACACTGGCAGAACTGTGACGGGAAGCTGTCAGCTAAGAGACACGGCAATTCCTGACCGAGGCGCGACAGGGAAACGTTCCAGAGAGTCAAATACCATCCTGTATCTACAGGTAGAAAATGCCTTTTTCTTTTTTCTTTTTTTTTTTTCCTTTTAAGAAATCTTCAAAGCTGGCCAATTGAAAGCACGATGGGTCCGGGCACATTATTATGTGAGGTTGTTCAATGCCTCTACTACTACTCACACCGCCTTTTTTTTTTTTTTAGGAGTTACACCTTTTAAGCGATCATCTTTGGTAGATGTTCATTTCCCTCGTCTTTCTTGTAAATCAAGTGCAGTTACAAAAAAGATTTTGTTACTTAAATTAACTAAGAAAAAAAAAAAATAAAGTGTCCCAGTCTGAATTTACCTAAAGTTCAGCAACTCCTCCTTATCAGAGTAATATTTTCCGTCCTTGAAATGGTGAGCTATTTTCCTTCCAATTCCTATCAAGAGGGAAATAAAAGGACTTGTGTATCTTTCTGGTAAAGACAGTCCAATAAAAAAAAAAAAAAGAAAAAAAAGAAAAAGCAGTAGTTTGTGGAATCAGGCACTGCTTCACTCCCACTGAACACGATCTAGAGCGACCCCTTTCACCCAGTGCCACACACCGTATCCCTCCGGGATCCTCTCAGTCAGAGAGGAGAAAATGTCATTAGAAAGAGCAGTGCTGAAACAA